GCTGTGCTGTGCTGTGCCTGATCCCGTCACCGGAAGATTTACGAATGCGATCAGCTGGCATGAGCGAGAGCGTCAGAGGGCTGAGTGAGTAGCGGGGGACACATTGTGATTTGCTGTTGTATGCAGCGCACACAACTCAGACTCGCGCGATGCACATTCACTCGACATGGTGCGCTGCCTTCGGCCGATCAAATCCTCACTCACAGTCGTGAATCACGATCGAATGCTCACGATCTTGAATGCGCGTCCCACTCCACCCTGGGTGCGCGTGCCGCGTGCGAGCATGCATGCTTGTAAGCATTCACTGATTCCTTCACATTGTTCATTCATGGCACTCAAAACCCGTGACTCACGACTCGTGACTAGCGACGCCGGCGTCCTATACCGTATCCGATACTCAAGACTCTTGACTGTGACTGTGTAGATGGATGCCACGAGTACCAAGAGGAAGTCAAGATTGCTTGCCGACATCCAGCTACTTTGTGATTCTGCTCTGCTCCCACTTTTCATCATCGCGCCTTGGCGAAAGTGCTCGCTCCACCCTTTTGAACAATCTTCCAGCACCTCCTTGACTGTTTTCGCAATCTAGAGTCACCATGGACGCGCTAGACGGAGACTCGGATCTCTCCGACTTGTCCGATGCTCCTTCCGCTTCCGCCTCCAAGTCTCCCTTGCAAGGCTCTGCCAAGCTCAACACATCGCCAGCCAAGACCATGTCCAAGGCGCAATCAAGCAGAGCGTCTAAGGCTGTTCCTGCTGCAACATCCGCCGCTTCAGCATCTGCCTCGACTTCTGCATCTGCATCCGCATCCGCATCCGCATCGCCCGAGCATGGTCGACGCAAAAGTCTGAGAGTGTCAGTGGATGGCGAAAAGGAGGCGACTGCTGCACTCTCCTCTCCAAGCAAGCCGGTCACGTACGGCAGGAACAAGGCCAGTCGACCCAGCAGGGTCAGTGTGAGGGGCACTGCGACACAGCTGGCCGAAGTGCCAGTGCCAGTGCCTGTGCCTGTGCCCCTTGACGCCAGCGGCGCGGAGGGAGACGCGAGCGCTGAGCAACCAGCAGTGGAAAGGAGAAGAAGAAGCTCCGGTCGTATGACTGCGCAAGATCTTCTTGGTGACAATCCGCCTGGGTCCAAGTCGGACGCGAAAGGCAAAACGACGAGCACGCCATCTAGGAGCAGCGCAAGGAAGAGCAAGCTGCAAGTGGATGTGCGGAAGGATAAGGAGAAGGAAGTTGCGGAGAGCATGGACAGCGCATCGCTCCAGGATCGAAATAGACTCAGTCCTCCTCTCACGCCTGGTCCTCC